TTGTTTGTATACGAGGGTGCCGGCTGATGTGGATGGACACACTTCGTCGGGACTGACAGTGCAGAACATGCGTCAACAATAACCATTTTAATTAATTCTTTCTAAAATTCTTATTAAATGAAAATAAGTACTTTAAGTATAAAATGATCATTATATTTTTCTTTCATTAATAAGTAAAAAAATAATAAGAGAATGTTATAAAAAAAAATAGAAAATTTTTCTTAGTGAATTCTTAAATAATAATAATAATAACAATATATAATAGTAATGAAGCATAAAAAAACAAAATAATGAACCATTTATACTAATTAACATAAGCTGGTATTATACCTGATAAGTTTACACTTTATAAATATTAAAATTCTTCGGCACAAACATTACATCATGATTATTATAAATTGTTAATCTTGATTAGCTTATGTCTTTAATTTTATAAACATTATTACATAATTAATCCAACTATATTTTATTAAGAACTCTTATAAATTTGTTCCGGCCAAAGGGTGGACTAGGGTTTTTTCCTAGATCGTGCCTTAGAGCCAGAGCATTCAAAAGTGTAATCTGCCCTCTTAACTCTAGGGTTTTGGGTTATATAGTTTCTTCTTTATGGGCCTCGCGGGCCCCGAGAATGTAGGGATTTCCTTAACCGTTCTTATCCGTAACCGTTCTGACCGAGCAAATTCTTAAGCGAGGGGGGGGTGGTATATGGCCGGCTAGACTCTCGTGGAGAGGTTCAGTCGGGAATAGACCGACTACCTGTACCAGAGGGGTTGGCCTAGAATCTGATCGATTTGCCGTATGTGGTGAAGTCGGGGTCGGACTACGCGAACCAGTCGGAATCTGACCCCGACGGTACACTTGCCTTCCAGCCCTGAGCCTATAAGGCGAGAGGGCTAAAGTGAGGTCGGTATATGACCGGCTAGACTCTCGTGAAGAGGTTCAGTCGGGCATCGACCGACTACCTGTACCAGAGGCCGATTGGTATCGCCGACTCGCCCGTAGGCTGATTGGTGTCGTCGACTCGGCCGTAGGCTGATTGGTATCGCCGACTCGGCCGTAGGCCGATTGGTATCTCGGGCTATAAGGACTACACCTTAAGCCTTTTCGCCTTATAGGCTCAAGGCTAGAAGGCAAGTGGACCGTCTCGACCGTAGACCGATTGGTATCTCGGACTATAAGGGCTACTATGCGTGTGAGGCCGACTATAAACCTGTGCACTGCCTAGGCCGATTCACGACCTGAACTCACTCGACTGTAACCTTGGCCGACTCACCCGACTGTAACCTTGGCCGACTCTCCCTCTCAGAGCCAGATACCGATCGACTCCCACCCATGAAGGCTTACCCGATTGGACACTCAGTAAATGACGAGGTCCCACCTTCACTCACCAAGTATTTTTCAGATTGTAACGGCTAAAGAGATCCCCATATTCTCGGGGCCCATAAGGCCCGTGAACAAGAAACTATAAAATCCAAAACCCTAGAGTTAAGAAGATAGATTACACTTTTGAATGCTCTCGCTCTAAGGCAGGATCTAGGAAAAAACTCTAGTCCACCCTTTGGCCGGAACAAAACTTAATTAATTTTACAAAATTTAAAATTAACAAATATTTCGTATAATTACTTAAATTTTTAATATAATATGTTATTTATTGGACATAATATTTACTATATTTTGTGGCTATAATATTTGATATATCTAAAATTTAACACTTAAGAATATATGAATTTTAGGTTAATTTAACCTTATAAACTATTATATAAGGTAAAAATTATTTCTCATTTATATATATATATA